GTATTTAGATTGGCTAAAGAGTCTTTGTGGCATTTATGGATTTGGAAAAGGCGTATACAGGGTGATAGGGGGGCAATGTGGCATATGTTGCAAGTGTATGGGGTAGGAGGGAAGGTTACTGGAAAGCAGTGAAGAGTTTTTTGTTTACAGGATAGTGGAGCTCGAGTTAGAGCATTTAGGAAAGAGGGAAATTTATTCCCAGTGAAAAGTAGTCCTTAGACAAAGGTGTGTGATGTCACCAAGTGGATGTATAATATATTTATAAGTATGGGGTTGTAAGAGAGGAAATGCGAGGGTTTTTTGGCAAGAGGCATGGAGTTAAAAATAAAGATTCACACACAAAGTGGTAGTTGTCACAGCAGCTTCTTTGGCTGATGACACGTGCTCTTGGAGATTCTGAGAGAAGCCTGCAGAGAATTGGTGGATGAATTTGGTAGGGGTGATGCAAAAGAAGAAAATTAAAGGTGAATACAGGAAAGAGTAAGGATAAGAGATAACAAAAAGTTTAGTTGATGAAAGATGAATACAGACTGGAGGGAAGAGTTATGGAGGAGGTGAACGTATTCAGATATTTGGGATTGGACGTGTCAGCGGATGGGTCTATGAAAGATGAGTGAATCATAGAAATTGATGAGGGACAAAGAGTGAGTGGTGCACTTAGGAGTTGTGGAGACAAAGAACTTGTCCTTTGGAGGCAAAGAGGAATGTATAGAGAGATAGTTTTACAACGCCTTATATAGGTGGGAAGCGTGTAGATGAATGTTGCAGCGAGGAGAAGGCTTGAGGCAGTGGAGATGTCATGTCCTGAGGAGAATGTGTGGTGTGAATATAATGCAGAGAATTCGTAGTTTGAAGAGTTAGAGGAGGTGCGGGATTACCAAACTGTTGTCCAGAGGGCAGAGGAAGGTTTGTTGAGGTGGTTTCGGGACAGTAGAGAGAAAAGGAGGCGAAACAGAATGACTTCAAGTTGTAATCAGTCTGTATGGGAAGGAAGGCGGGTAGGGGTCTGTCGCAATGAAGGGTTGGAGTGGAGTGGAAAGGAGGTTTATGATGTGCAAGGGGCTTGGACTTCCAGCAGGCAGCGTTGATGCGTGTTGAAAGGAGTGAATGGAGACAAAAGTGTTTTTTAAGTACTTGACGTCTTTTTGGAGTGTGAGCAAAGTAAACATTTATGACGGGATTCAGGGAACCCGCAGGGCCGGACTTTGAGTCTCTGGAGATGGGAAGTAACAGTGCCTGCACTCTGAAGGAGGAGGTGTTAATGTTTGCAGTTTAAAAACTGTAGTGTAAAGCACCCTTCTGGCAAGACAGTGATGGATGTGAATGATGGTGAAAGTTTTCTTTTTCGGCCACCCTGCATTGGTGGGAATTCGGCCAGTGTGATTATAAAAAAATAATAAAAAAATCACATTTATATCATAATCCCTTTTTAGTTGTAGCTACACTGATGAGTAAAAGGTAGATGGATACAAGAGAGTAGAAGCATCAGGTAAGAGAGAGGGAAGGTTTAAAACTAAAGAGGAGGCAGTAGTGCGTAAGATATAAACACCTAACGGAGGAAAGGAAGGGCTAAGAGAGCAAAGGCAATGGGGTTGAAGAGGTATGGAGAGTTATGGTTAAAAATGTAGTGTTAAGAGTGTTCCTGCCAGAAGTTTTGTGGTTAGCAGGAAAGTGGGTGCGGGAGGGAAGAGGAGCGATTGGTGGAAATGATGATATAAAGAGAATAATAAGGGAGAAAAAGTTAGCATATGAGAAGTTTTTACAAGTAGAAGTTATGCCAGGAGGGAAGAGTAAAATGGGAGAAAGAGAAGAGGTTGAGAGAGTGGTGAAGCAAATGTAAAAAGAGAGCAAATGATAGAGTGGGTGAGATGTTATCAACAATTTTGTTGAAACTAAGAAAAAGTTTTGGAGTGCGATTAACAAGTTAGGAAGCCTAGAGAAACAAATGGATTTTGTCATTTAAAAATAGGAGAGGAAGTTATTAAATGGAGAGTTAGAGGTATTGGAAGATGGAGGAAATATTTTTGAGAATTTTTTGAATGTTGAAGATAGGGAAGCTGTGGATTTCGTGTATAGGGCAGGAGTGAGGAAGAGCCAGTTTGTGAGGTGGGGGAAGTTCGTGAGCGTAGGATAAAATGAAAGGGTAAGGGAGCTGGATTGATGGATAAAGATAGAAATGTTAAAACAGGTGGGGATATAGTTTTGGAGTGGTTGTGCTATTATTTAATAAATGTACTGGAAGATAGTAAGGTAACCTATGGATTGGAGCATAGAGCATGCAAAGGTTTCCTTTGTATAAAGGGCAAAGGGGACAAAAGAGAGTGAAATATTATAGGGATAAGTCTGATTATTATACCTGGTAAACTGTATGGTAGAGTTAATTATTGAAAGAATTTAAGAGTAAGACGAGAATAGGATAGCAGATGAACAAGGCGGGCTTTAGGAAAGATAGGGGGTGTATGGACCAGGTTTTTTACAGTGAAACATATAAGTTTAAAAAGTATTTAGATAAAGGGTAAAGAGGTTTGTGTGGCATTTATGGATTTGGAAAAGCCGTTATAACAGGGTGGATAGGGGGGCAATGTGGCAGATGTTGCAGATGTATGGTATAGGAGGTAGGTTACTGAAAGCAGTGAAGAGTTTTTAAACGAGGATAGTGAGGCTCAAGTTAGAGTATGTAGGAAAAGAGGGAGATTATTTCCCAGTAAAAGTAGGCCTTAGCAAGGATGTGTGATGTCACCATGGTTTTTTCAATATATTTATAGACGGGGTTGTAAGAAAAGTAAATGCGAGGGTCTTGGCAAGAGGTGTGGAGTTAAAAGATAAAGAATCACACAAGTGGGAGTTGTCACAGTTGCTTTTTGGGTTTGATGACACTGTGCTCTTGGGTGATTCTGAAGAGAAGTTGCAGAGGTTGGGGGATGAATTTGGTAGGGTATGTAAAAGAAGAAAATTGAAAGTGAATACAGGAAAGAGTAAGGTTATGAGGATAACAAAAAGATTAGGTGATGAAGATTGGGATATCAGATTGGGAGGGAAAAGAGTAGGAGGAGGCGAGTGTATTCAGATATTTGGGAGTGGACGTGTCAGCGAATGGGTCTAAAGAAAGATGAGGTGAATCATAGAATTGATGGGGAAAAGGGTGAGCGGTTTCACTTAGGAGTCTGTGGAGACAAAGAACTTTGTCCTTGGAAGCAAAGAGGGGAATGTATGAGAGTATAGTTTTACCAATGCTCCTGTATGGGTGTGAAGCATGGGTGATGAATGTTGCAGCGAGGAGAAGGCTGGAGGCAGTGGAGATGTCATGTTTGAGGGCAATGTGTGGTGTGAATATAATGCAGAGAATTCGTAGTTTGGAAGTTAGAAGGAGGTGCGGGATTTCCAAAACTGTTGTCCAGAGGGCTGAGGAGGGTTGTTGAGGTGGTTTGGACATGTAGAGAGAATGGAGCGAAACAGAATGACTTCAAGAGTGCATCAGTCCGTAGTGGAAGGAAGGCGGGGTAGAGGTCGGCCTAGGAAAGGTTGAAGGGAGGGGGTAAAGGAGGTTTTGTGTGCGATGGGCTTGGACTTCCAGCGGGCATGCATGAGCGTGTTTGATAGGAGTCCTGGAGATGGGAAGTACAGTGCCTGCACTCTGAAAGAGGGGTGTTAATGTTGCAGTTTAAAAACTGTAGGGTAAAGCACCCTTCTGGCAAGACAGTGATGGAGTGAATGATGGTGAAAATTTTTCTTTTTCGGGCCACCCTGCCTTGGTGGGAATCGGCCAGCATATTAATAATAAAATTAATAATAAAAATTCTAGCGGCTTCAAATCAAGCAGGAGAAAGCTGGTAGGCCCACATGTGAGAGAATGGGTCTATGTGGTCGGTGGGCACCATATAAAAAAAAATCCTGGAGCACGCAGTGCATAACGAGAAAAAAAAACTGACCATTTTTTTAATTAAAATGCCGACTTTGTGGTCTATTTTCGTATAGTATTTATGGTTGTATTCTCGTTTTCTTGGTCTCATTTGATAGAATGGAAAACACATTATAGAAATAGACGTGATTTTGATTGATTTTACTATAAAACGAACCTGGCAATAGAGCTTAAAGTAGGGAAAATGTTAGATTTTTGCCGATGTTCAAAAGTAAACAAATGATGTCATTGTGCAATAAATGTCCAAATAGCCATTCTAATATGCAGTCATGAATGGGTTGATGTTATTTATACAATTATTACAGTATTGCAGTAGTCTGCATAACAGTAAATCTTCTATTTTTTGTTTGAATAAAAATTCAAAATAGAAAGCAAGAGTAATATCAGAGGGGCCTGGAGACGTGACTGATGAACAAAGAAAATGTTATTTTAGAGCCAGGAATGTCTGCATTGTTCATTCTGGACCTTATTTTGAAATTGTCATATTTTTTAATTTTCATGAAATTGGCCAAATTGCAAATTTCTGACCACGTTATTGGGTAGTTGAAATCGGTAAATGGGCAGTTTATTGTACTCAATCGATAGAAAAAAACGGAGTTCTAAAGAAGCAGCTATGAGTTTGGTCGACTGGAACAATGGAATTAGTCGAAAATAGGGCTCAAAGTGGACAAAATCGCCGATTTGTAAATATCGCCGAGGTCACTAACTTCGCGACAGCGTAATTCCGTCAGTTTTCCATCAAATTTCGTTTTTTGGTGTCATTACAATTGGGAAAAGATTCTCTATCATTTCATAAGAAAAAATAATTTGTTTTTTCGAAATTTTGCGACACCAGGAGACACCTCAGGATTGGGGGTTGTGACAGTCAAGGGGTTAAAAAGAAAAAAAAAAAGAGGGGGGGAGGGGGCTTAGGAGCCCAAGATCGGTGTTGTACCTATGTTCACACATTTGATAATATCTATCTTATACAGTAAATAATTCTTGTATCACTCCAATAGTACAAAGAAAATGTGAGAATGCATAAGTAAAATTGAATTACTCATAAAGGCACAAAAAATTATTTATGAAACATTATACTAACCATTATTGTTTGTAGTCTTATTAATAGATGGATCCTGTGTGGCAGTCACTGCAATAGCACTGTGATTATCTTCTAGAGTTTCCTTGATGTCTCTCTTGCAATGAACTTGATTGTGTATTTCTTTTCTGGTATTTGAAGGAGGACCACTATAAGCAGCTTGAATGGCCTTTTCAATGTGTGCGTTACAATGTGTTTGACTATGAACAGATGATGATCTTGGAGGGTTTAAAATAGTTTGGTTCAATGTATTTGTCAGTGGGTTCTCTTTAGATGGGCAAACTTGTGATGGAACTTCACTTTCAGTTGCTTCCAGTAAAGAAGATTCCTCTGGAATTGAAGCCATGCTTAGCAGATTGATTGTGCTATTTTTCACAGCCAGTGTGTTAGATGGAAGCCTTGGTACTTTAAAAATGCCACTGTTTATATTTTCACTCATGTGCTGCACAGGCACTGTCACTGCTGCGTGTTTCCCTTGATGTGATATGGAGTGAGTATTGATGAATGTACTGGAGATGATGTTTTGGAAGCTGGGTTGTTCAAATGTTGTCTGATCCTGAGTTCCATTAATACTGCTGTTTTTCAGAGTAAGTAAATCCAACCTGGGTATATCCCTCTGTCCTCTTGGGTTGTAGGGTAACCAATCTGCAAAGATATGTATTATACACAAATATTAGTAATAATGGTAGAATTAAAGACAAATTGTTGGGTAAATGGACACAAATGCAAGTAATGTGACATTTTATTGTGGCAACGTTTTTCTCTCCAGGAGCTTTGTCAAGCTGTTACACACCTTGTGAATCCTTGTGATGTTTTTAACGGCTTGACAAAGCTCATGGAGAGTGAAACCTTGCCATAAACTAACACATTAGTTGCACGTGTCCATGTACCTACCCACATACAAAACATCTTGAGAAACATTGGTCTCCCTCATTCACTACATTGTTTTCTATTTGCATTTGTATTTGAGGAAAGTTTTTCTTTTTCGGGCCACCCCGCCTTGGTGGGAAATGGCCTATGTGTTAATAAATAAAAAAAAAATTGTATTTGCAGGTTCTGAGTTCCAGGTGCTCAGCTGCAACTCTTAACCTTTATTTAATCTTGCATTTTTATCATACCTAATGCTGAAACCATTTACAGTATGGAGTCTACTTCCATTATTTTACTCTCAATATGTTTGTATACATAAGTACATAAGAAAGGAGGATCACTGCAGCAGGCCTGTTGGCCCATACTCATTTGCAAGTCCCACTCAAATCCAACCCCTCTCACTCATATAATTATCCAACCTAAATTTGAAACTACCCAAAGTCCTAGCCTCAATAATCCAACTAGGTAGACTGTTCCACTCATCAACTACCCTATTTCCAAACCAATACTTTCCTATGTCCTTTCTAAATCTAAACTTGTCTAATTTAAATCCATTACTGCAGGTTCTATCTTGGAGAGATATCCTCAAGACCTTACTAATATCCCCTTTAATAATACCTATCTTCCACTTATACACTTCGACATGTCTCCCCCCATTCTTCGTCTAACAAGTGAATGTAATTTAAGTCTTCAATCTTTCTTCATAAGGAAGATTTCTAATGCTATGTATTAATTTAATCATTCTACGCTGAATGTTTTCTAACGAATTTATGTCCATGCTGTAATATGGAGACCAGAACTGAGCTGCATAATCTAGGTGAGGCCTTACTAATGATGTATAAAGCTGCAGTATAACCTCTGGACTTCTGTTGCTTACACTTCTTGATATAAATCCCAATAATCTATTTGTCTTATTACGTATGCTTAGGCACTGCTGTCTTGGTTTAAGGTTGCTGCTCACCATAACCCCCCCCCCCCCCAAGTCCTTTTTGCAATCTGTATAGCTAAGTTCTACATTATTTAACTTATAAGTGCTAGGGTTATGGACACTCCCAAGCTTCAGAACCTTGCATTTATCTACACTGAGCTGCATCTGCCACTTTTCTGATAAGAATAGAGATTGTCTAAATCCTCCTTAAGTTCCCTAACATCTAAGTTTGAATCAATTATCCTACCTATCTTTGTGTCATCGGCGAATTTGCTCATATCACTAGTAATACCCTCATCAAGGTCATTGATATACAGTGGACCCCCGAGTTTCGTGATTAATCCATTCCAGAGAGCCCGCTGAATGTCGAAATTCACGAGTGTGAGCAAAGTAACATTTATGAAGGGGTTCAGGGAAACCGGCAGGCCGGACTCGAGTCCTGGAGATGGGAAGTACAGTGCCTGCACTCTGAAGGAGGGGTGTTAATGTTGCAGTTTAAAAACTGTAGTGTAAAGCACCCTTCTGGCAAGACAGTGATGGAGTGAATGATGGTGAAAGTTTTTCTTTTTTGGGCCACCCTGCCTTGGTGGGAATCGGCCAGTGTGATAATAAAAAAAAAAAAATTAATCCATTCCAGACACCCAAAAATATTAAAATAAAATATTTTTCAAATTAAATAAAGATTTACATAATGAAACCAATCAGAAATCAAGTACATGCATTTAAAAAAAAAATAATAACTTTACACTTACCTTTACTGAAGACTTCTGCGTGGATGGAAGACGGGAGGAGGGGATAGGAGGAAGGTGTACACTATTGTTTGGAAGGAGAATCTCCTTCCATTAGGACTTTAGCAAGTCCTTATCTGGGGTTACTTCCCTTCTTCTTTTAATGCCACTGGGAACAACTTGAGAGTCAATGGACCCCTGTCGCACAAAATATCTGTCCAAAATTTCTGGCGTTTCTTTAAGATTTCCCTGAAGTGGGACACAACACTGTCATTGTACATGTTGCAGATATGGCTTGTTTCAGCTTGGTCAGGGTGATACTTTTCAGCAAAACTTTGCAACTTATTCCACATTCCACACATGTCCTTAATCACTGAAGAAGGCACCTCATCCACTCCCTCTTCCTCCTCCTCTGAAGCAAGTTCCTCGGCTGTGGTCTGATGCTGTTCCAGTTGAAACTCATGCAGTTCGTCAGTGGTTAGCTCTTCCCTGTGGTCCTCCACTAACTCTTCCACATCCCCGTCACTCACTTTATTTACCAAAGGGCTTGCACTAGCTTTCTTTGGGTCCATGATGACTTATTTAGCAGTTGCAAGCACAAAAAAACAATGAATTATTATGAAATGTATTGTATGCACCCGCGGGGTGATGGTCACGTGTTGGTAAACAATGGAACACTGAGCATGAATGGCGTGGGAGACTGGCTTGGTGTGCGCGGTGACGGGCGGACGGGTACCAGAAACAAGTCTTTTCACAAAACTCGAGGCCAAATTTTTCCAAAAAAAACTCGCCGAAGGTCGAATTTCACGAAGTCAAGGCTGCTGAAACACAGGGGTCCACTGTATATTATAAACAACAACGGGCCTAAGACTGATCCCTGTGGTACGCCACTTGTTACAGATCCCCACTCGGATTTAACCCCATTTATGGACACTCTGCTTCCTGTCTGTGAGCCATGACTCAATTCATGAGAGCACTTTTCCCTGAATGCCATGAGCTGCCACTTTCTTTAAGTCTTTGGTGCAGAACTATCAAAAGCCTTGCTAAAATCTAAGTAAATAATATCAAATTCTTTATCATGATCAACAGCCTTAAAAGCATTACTGAAGAAAGTTAATAAATTAGTTAGACAAGAACAGCCTCTCGTGAATCCATGCTAAGTATCATTAATCAGATTATGCTTATCCAGATGGCTTCTTATAATCTCAGCTATAATTGACTCTAGCAATTTGCCTACAATTGAGGTCAGGCTTATTGGGCGGTAATGACTTATCCCCTGATTTAAAAATAGGAATTACATTAGCCATCTTCCACATATCAGACACTATACCTGTTTGAAGAGATAAATTAAAAATATTAGTTAATGGTTCACAGAGTTCCATTTTGCATTCCTTAAGAACCTTTGAAAAAAGTTCATCAGGTCCCGGCGACTTATTTTGCTTCAGTCGATCTATTTGTTTCATAACCATTTCACTAGTGACTGTGATGTTACATAATATAACTTCTTCAGGCCCACTATAAAAATTAATTACTGGGATACTGTTAGTGTCTTCCTGTGTAAAAACCGAGAGAAAATAATTATTTAAAATCGAGCACATTTCATTCTCTTTGTCAGTAAGATGCCCATAGTTATTTTTAAGGGGCCCTATCTTATCTCTAACTTTTGTTCTATACACCTGGAAAAAACTTTTTGGGTTAGTTTTCAAATCCCTGGCAACTTTAATTTCATAGTCCCGTTTAGCTTTTCTTATCCCCTTTTTAACATCCCTCTTAATGTCAATATACCGATTCATAAGATGACTCTCACCTCTTTTGATATGCCTATAAATTCCTTTATGCCCTTAAAGATATTTGAGCCTATTATTCATCCATTTTGGATCATTTCTGCTTGATCTAATTTCTTTATACAGGATAAATGTTCTTTGGGCAGCATGTACAGTATAGTGTTCAGAAAACCGTCATATTGATAGCTCTCTCTGCTACCCCAGTCAACAGATGATAAGTGTTCTCTAAGCCCATCGTAATCTGCTAAGCGAAAATCTGGAACTGTTACCGAGTTATCCCTACTATCATACTTCCATTCAATGCTAAATGTAATTGATTTGTGGTCGCTAGCACCAAGTTCCTCTGAAATTTCTAAATTATTAACAGGGGATTCATTGTTTGCCAGAACTAAGTCAAGCAGGTTATTTCCCCTTGTAGGCTCTGTCACAAACTGCTTCAAAAAACAATCCTGAACTACTTCTAAGAAGTCGTTTGATTCTAAATTCCCAGTCAAGAAATTCCAATCAATATGACTAAAGTTAAAGTCTCCTAGAATTACTACGTTATCGTGCCTTGTGGCCTTAACAATTTCCTCTCATAGTAGTCTCCCTTGGTCCCTATCTAAGTTTGGGGGATGGTATATTACACCTAAAATCAATTTTTCATGTCCCTCTGAAAATTCTATCCAAACAGATTCAGTATGGGTTTCAGACTTTATACCTTTTTTTATGCAACAGTTCATGCGATCTTGGACATACAGTGCCACCCCACCCCCCTTCCCGATACTTCTGTCTACTTGGAACAATTTAAAACCCTGTATGTGGCATTCAGCATGCATATCCCAATTTTTCATATTGAACCACGTCTCAGTTAAGGCAAATACATCAATGTTACCTACACTAGCAACTAGTCTCAACTCATCCATCTTATTCCTAGCACTACGACTATTTGTGTAATATATATTTAATGACCCTCCCTTCTCTTTTTTCTTCCTGCTGATTTCTGTTCCTCCACTATGCCTGTTACTCTCCTTATCACCTAATGCCATTGGCTTTCCTATGTTCATCAATAACTCTTCCTCATTCTGCCTATAACTGGTTTCCTTAACCCCTTCAGGGTCCAAGGCCAAAATCTGAAGTGGTGCTCCAGTGTCCAAGAAATTTTGAAAAAAAAAAAAAAAAAAAAAAAAAAAAAAAAAAAAAAAAAAAAAAAAAAACTTACAGAATTAAAGAGCATATTTTTGTGAAGGTAATAAGACAAAAAAAATTTTTCTGATCAGTACTTACCGAGATACAGTGCCAAGAAGTTTGTCCAAAATGATGTAGTGGCGGCAACATCGACAAATTCCACATACG